TGATGATATTATTATTATTATTATAATTATTATTAATGATATTGATTATTTATTATGTTTCTTGATATGCTATTTATTATTTATTGCTTGATCACCTTTATTGCATGTTTAAAGGGAATTTGGTATTTGTAATCACGCTTAATAAAATTATTAATAATCTTGTTTAGGGTTAATTGTGATTATAATTCAAGTGATTGCCAATAATAGATTTGTATGTGCATTAATATTCAACCAACATAGATTAAACAGGTTTAGGGTTAATCATATCGATTGCATGTTAATCAGAAAGCGCACATGAATACGAGCATAATAAAGTAGAGGCCTATTATTAGGGCAGGTTCAATCTCTTTTAGGTTGGATTTGTACCATCATCCCTGAACCCTTATTTGGTTCATGACCTTATGGAGTTGACGATCTCTTGGATCGTTAAGGGGTGTAACCTTCACCTCGTGAACGGTTTACAAGTTCCTTAAAAACTTGTTGGCGACTCTTTTGCTCTATCTTCTTCTCTTTTGGACGCCACCGTACTTTAGTGTATGATCACAGTGGGGTTCAAGTTAGTGGTATTTTAAAGGCTTGAAACTATTCCCTACACCATTATAGGCCTCCATAGAGAACTCAAGAATCCTTTTTCTCCTTCATCTTTCCACAAATAAGAAAATAGTTTTTTTTTTTTAAAAAAAATAAAATAAAAGTAAGGCTTTTAACTCACACACAAATGCGAAACTCTATCTATCCTATATGCCCTCTTAAGTCTACCCACAATTTTAATTACTATTCCAATTTTAATCTTTTTAGGACCTTGAAAACTGATACCACTTTGTAACACCCCCAAATCTCCCTCTACGGAAATACTAGTATGATACGTATAATTATACCGTAGAGATAGACTTAGGCGTATTACCGCCGCGTGATTAAGCAAGGCTACTCAACTTACTCAAAATAGCAATACTTTGCAGCGGAAACTTCAATACTCTTCTTTATTAATAATAACCATAATAGTAACCAATGTTATGAGTACTCCAAATAGATACAAGACCAAATTCCTAGTTTAGTGAAAACCAATTCCTCATATTAAAATCAATTCCTCTCCCAAGTGTGCACACCCCCAAAACTAGTTTCCTTATGTTACAAGGCTATTCTTGAGGAAAGACCCGGTCATACAAAGTCCAAGGCCTTATCAATAAACCAAATCCGCATAATGGGATTACTAACATGCTTATGAAAACAATAAATCCATGATTCAATAAATCCTCTTTTAAATCCAATAATTCAACCTTTAATGAAAACAATCCAAACTCCTTTTCAATAAATCCAACTTGCTTTCAAATCAATCCTTTTTAAACATGAATAATAAATTAATTAATCAAAACATGTTATAAAAATCAATACTCCAATTCAATCATTAAAACCAATCCTTTAAACATACTTTTAATTCATAAACCATAATTCAATTCAATTTAATTCAATTCATCATAAAATGGGTGATTCTTGAGCCTAACCACAAGGATTTTTTGAGAGGAACAACTTTTTGTGAAACGTCACTACCCTAAAAACTGACCAGAAGTTCTCGAAAATTGGCTTCAAAGATGAACAGGATGATTTGTGTAAAATTGAGGAGAAGAAAAGAAGAGAATTGGTGTGAAGAATGTGAGAGGTATGAAGGGATATTTATAGGCTAGTATGAGCATGAATTATGGTAGAAAAATTTAGGAAGAATTATGGTAATTAGGGTTTAAGAGATTACTTGGAGAAGTGAGCAAAGATTTAAGGAAAGTTTTGATATTTGAAGGGATTGTGTATAATTGAATATGGAAGGTATGTATGTCATGAAAAATATTTAAGAAAATTGGGATTTCTTGGGGAATAATTAAGAAGAATGAATGGCAAGAAAATATAATGATTGGATATCACAAAGATGGAGAATTAGAATTATGGAAAATAGGAGATTTTAAGAAGATAATTAAAAATACAAATTACCAAAATATTTTCCCAAAATCTTCATGGGATGGCCGAAATTTTTGAGCTTTCCTAAGCTCATATTTTCGGCCCTCCTATTTAGTATTTAGGAATATATTTTGCTAGTTTTAAGGAATTAAAAATAATTGTGTAAATAATATTTATTATAATAAATAATTAAATAATAAAATACCAAATATTCACCAAATAATTTAACTAAATAAAAATCAGATTTTCACATAGGAAAATCCGAAATTATTAGCTAATTAATTGGGATTTTTGGACCTAATAAAATATAGCTTTTGCCTTAATTAAAAATCTGAAATATCTAAATAATCCGGTTTTTAAAATAGGATAAATGGATAATAAATCTTATCCAAATTAATAATTTGTTTTTAAAATACTTTTGGCGCCAAAATTCAAATATCATTTTTGCTCCAAGAATTAAATAGTAAGTTGAATTACTAAAATACCCTTTTTAGAAAATAATAATTAATTAGGAAAATATATATGAAAATACGGGGTATTACATTACCTCCTACGTACTATTGCCAATTGGTTTTAGAATGGAAGCTCCAAAAGCCTTGTTTGTGGACCAAACTCTCATCCTCCTTATTCGGGTTGCCCAGACCCATTTCATGTTGTTTCAAAATTTAACATGGTATCAGAGCCCAGGTTGCGGGTCTCTTCTAAACTGGATATTTAATCGCTACTGGATAAGGATTTACCTTGACAAGATGTCCAGCCCCTAAGAGGATTAGTATGGAAGCTCCAAAAGCCTTATTTGTAGACCAAACTCTCCTGCTCCTTATTCGGATTGCCCAGGCCCATTTCATATTGTTTCAAAATTTAACATTGTCTGGTAGGTTCATGGATGATCATATTGATCAAACACCCTTAGAAAATGGACTCGAGAAATTCAATAATGACATATTCATGGGGAATAAAAAGAATTAGGAGATTGGATGGTGAAATTGCAATTGACATGATTTTGCTAAGCTTAGGTTCAAGGTCAATTGATGATGTATTTGAACTACCTTCTTTGGTTATGCCAAATACCAAGGTTAATACTTCTTCCAACACAATTAAACTCGACATACATGCTAATGCACCTAAACTCCTTCGTGTATCTTACTTTTTCAAATAAAAAAAAATTGTCAATGTACTAATTTCACTTTAGACATATACGATTAAGGCCCTATTTGGTAATTATCTTGTAGCTGATTGTATTACCTGATTTGACTAGCTGGCCGGTTATATTAGCTGGTTTGACTAGTTGGTTATAATTAGTTGATTGTATAAAAGTGTTTGGTAAATAGCTATTAATTGTTAGCTTTTTTAGTATATTTAAGAGACAAAAAGCTAAATGCTCAATAAAATAATTTTAAAAAGCTTTTATAATGAGATTTTTTTAAAAACCCTAGGAGCGGAATATCCAATAGTTCAGGTACAAACCTATGGGGCATCTTTTTCCCTAGCTTTTTGAGCCCAAAAAGCTCTTTTAATAAGTTATTTACCAAACACCCAAATTAGTTTGTTTAATAGGACAAATATTTAATTGGGCAAAATAAGCTAAAAACTCTATAAAAAGCTCTTTACCAAACAAGACCTAAATCTTCTTCGTCTTTGCCTTGAACGCCTTAATCCCATTAGAGGGATCGGCTACATGAACCTTTTTTTTTTCGACTACATGAACCTTTTTTTTTCCGATTTGTTTATGTCACAAATTTAGTTGTTAATTGTGCAAACATATTTTTTAGGAGTATAAATATCTACACTATTCTTAAGAGCTTAAAAAAAAAAGTAATTATGGAGTGACATTAATGAGGACAAATAAATTAGAGGGTATAATTATCCAAATAATATTCATAAGAGTTATCTAAAATGTTTTACTCCAGCAACCAACATTGCCATCCTTTTGGTCAATGTATTGGAGAGGAGTCTTATTTACCGTCATACACAACTAACAAAAAGAGTAAATACAACATGATATCCAACACTTGGTATTTATATACTCCGTGATTGTCATTTGATAAACAAACTAGTTATTGGCCCGGGCGATGCACCGGATCATTATAAATATATTACTTTAGTCGAAGTTTGTTTGTCAGTGAAAGCTTAAGTGACGTTTATTTTTTTTATATGATAGCTTAAGTTGTGTGTTGTTTGTATGAGCTGATTTCATTATTAAAATAACGGTTTGACTTAAAAAAATACTTTTTTTTTTTTGCATTTAAATAAAATCTCTATAAATTTGATGTCAAAATTATAATACTCCATAATGCACAAAAATCTTTTACTGTATAACTACAATTTTTAATATCTTACAAACTTTATTATTGTGTAATTATTAAGGATCGGAGTTACATTTCAAGGGAAATTTATATAAGGTGTTATGCATATGAAGAGGTTATCAATTAAATTAAACATTAATACATGGCTAATGTATGAAGTTTTTCAATTATTAATGGTCTTATATGATTTGGTAATACAGCATATACCAAATGGCAAAATCGGTGACACATGGCAAAATAGCATGTCTTGCCATGAGTTTTAATAATATATATTGATATATTGATATATTGATTATTATATTTATCTCTATGATTAACACAGACCCACTCTTTAAGGCCATGTTCTCTTGCTTAATTTCAGTTCAGTTCAGCTCCAATCAGTTTAGTTTAGTTTAATTTATTTCCTAATTTCCTTCTGTCATATACGAAGTATAATTTATTTCAGCTCTAATAAGTTTAGTTCATTAAATCAGAATAAACCCTATTATTTTGTTTCAATAGGAAGAAATCGAAGGAAAAGAAAAGAAGAGAAATGGAGGGAGACAAAATCTTTTATTTAGGTAAAAGATTGGGGGAAGAAAGGGGAAGGAGAGGGGGGGATCCATTTTCCCTTTCTCTATAATAACCATAATCTCTCCAAAATTAGAGGGAAAATGGAGCTCACCTCCCCCTCCCTTTCTTTTCCCTTCCCTTCCTCCATTTTCCCTTCCTTCTTTGCTATCCAAACAAAGCGTAAGTCTTTGTACCTTCCAAAAAAAAAAGGACCCACTCTTTATTCAAATAATTCTTTCTACTCATGAAAATTAATGGGTGATTTGGTTTCTAAAGTAAAAAATCCTACTGTAAAATCTTAAAAGCCAATATAGTGAGTAAAAAGCGGGATTTTTGGCTCCCACTTCCTCATTTTGGTGCCAAAAATCCAAAAATTTCCCTCCCAAAATCCCCTCCTATTTAACTATTCAAGGGTCACACTATTCTCAATTTCTCACTAACCTACAAGGCTACAATTGACCTATGCAACTCCAGTAAAAATAATGGCCAAACACCAGCGTAAAGAAGACCGTCTGAGTTCACTTCCCGACGCAATTCTCATCAACATACTCTCTCTTCTCCCAACCAACACCGCCGCTTCCACCTCCGTCTTATCCCACCGATGGCGCTACCTTTGGACCGGCGTCACTCGCCTTGATCTCATCCTTGATGATGCACCAAACCTCACTGACTTCCTCAGCAACATCCTACTACAACTAACATCCCCGAAACTCCACTCTTTCAAAATCGAGTTCGATTCGGGTGCCTTCTTACATGATGATGATGACCCTGATGCTGATGCTGTAGAGTCCTGCTTTCATCATATTTGCTGCCGAAATGTCGAACAGTTCATTTTCATTGACACACGTGTAGAGGAAGGGCACTTTCGAACGCCTGATTCCTTTCTTAGTTGTCAATCTTTAGTAGATTTGCATTTGTTTGGTCCGCTTAAATTTGATTATAAAAGTACTCAGTTTTACCTTCCGAATTTGAAGAAGCTTTCCCTGATTAACCTTTCAAATGTGCCTGATTGGGTTTGGTCTTTGCATACATTTGTCCCGTTCTTACAAGATTTAACTCTGGTGTTTGAGACGACGTCTAGACTACCGCCTAATGTAGTTTCTCCTCTGAATTTGCATTTCCTCAATTTGAAGTCGTTGACGCTAGCTTTTAATTCCTGGTTTTATTCAGGTTTCTATTGATTGCACCTGAAATAACACATCTTGTTATTAGTGGTTGTGTTTACCTTATACTTTCGTCGTATTCCAACTGAATTAATCAAAGCGTGTATTGAATTGAGGAGGGAGGATAAGGAAGAAGATGAGAATGATTACGCAGAGGATTTTAACTGGTTTTCTGAATTTTTCAGAGGAAGTCTAGTATTACCAACCTTGGGATTGTAGTGTTCAGGAGTATTAATATATTCTCTGTCTTGAATTTAAATCCACCCATGTTTTTTTAATGTAGTCCGCCTTGAGGTGACTTTGGATGGGTCTAATTTTAGTGGGAATGATTTGTTGGTTTCGCTGCAATGCTTCCCTAACTTACAGCATCTTTGGGTGAAATTTGATGTGATGGGTTTTATTGACGAACTGGTGCAGACAATGTGGCGCTCACCTTATATTTGTACCAAGCTGTCTAGTTAATAAGCTCGAGATGATAAAGATAATTGGACTACCACTTAGTGGGATTGCTGCTGGCTCATGTTGCTGAGGTACATTCTATGCAATGCAAAAGTTTGCGAAAGCTTTACTTTGGTGCTTGGTTTGATGAACATTCTCAAGCACAAGAACTCTGGAAGGAACGTAAGTTCTGTAAGTCCTTGTTTAAGCTCCCAAGGTGCTCGCCGACTTCTAAGGTTTGTTTTCGGAAGGTTTATTACATCATCAAGTAATACTTTCAAGAAAGGAAAGCTTACTTGTAAAATGACCTAGCCAGCTTCATTGACTATATTCTTCCAACATTAAAGGATGCATTTTGTTCGGCAGGTACTCACAACTAAATTTCATTTTGAATTTGCTTTGATTAATTTCGATTGGTTTATGCTTTACAACCACTTCTCAATGTGTTGGATTTGTGTCAATTGTTAAAATGTTAGCTTGCTATGAATTGTAATTTTGCTTTTCTTCTAGTTTCGGTTCTTTTGCATCTCTATATTTTTTATATGGTTATGTTAATTTTCATTCTTGAATTTTTTCGTTTTATGCATGTCAATTTTAGATGGTACAAACATAAAATGCGATGATTTGTGTTTGTTGTCACTCAAGCCTTATAACTTGTCGTAACAATTGAGGGTCTTAAAGCCACAGATATGTGTTAAAAGTTTGCTTTCAAATTAGATTAGAAAGGATGAAAAATAGTAGTCAGTAGACAGAGTTTGCTATACAACATATGCTCTACATGTACTCTCTACATAGTTTGAGCTACAATGAATGTTGATGATAAAGCTTTAGTAACTAAACTAGTATTAGTTGGACTCAAAGGGGCTTGTTGAAACTTCTATCTCAAAAAATAAATAACCATTTAACGAATTCTGTGAAGCCAAGCCAGAGTATAAGGAAGTATTAGATTTTGATACGATTTGCAATTTTCAATCTAAATTGTTAAATATGACATGGTTATGGCATGCTCTATAGTCTATACTAGTCAGTTAATGGATGCAAAAGAGTATGAAGTTTTAGAATGTTGTTCAAAAAAGATGTATCCATCTTTAGTGTTTTTAATTGGCATGTGAGTATTGATTAGGGATTTTTATCCTCCAATTCACCGTCTGACAAGTGGACCAACCAGGTTCCGCCACGTGTCCTTCACGAAGGCCAACAGGAGCCTGCCACGTGTCAATCACAGATACGTCCTCTACGGACCAATTTAGACACGCCACGTGTCCACCCATGCCAAATGGGAAAACCGGCCATCAAGGCCCAATCCAGTCTAGAGGCCCGATCAGCCCTAGGTTTACCTTAAACCTTGAGAGTGGCACGCTTCTCAAGGCTATAAATACTCAATTAATCCTCATTAATTAAGCAGTAAATCCAGGAATCAAGAAATCAAGCAGAGAAGAACAGAAATATTACGGAACACCAACAACCGGCTAATCTCGCTAACGACGCAGATTACCAACACTAAGCACTCTCACCTAGAGAGATCTTATTACTTTAATTTCCGTATTAATTACTCCTTAATCAGGTACTAACTTGACCGTTGGAGGCGGAGCTCTCAGGAGTCTCCGTTATTTTGCAGGTACAGGCGTCCGGTTCCAGTCTCGGAATTGTAACTCTCCCGCAGGACATCAGAAAACCCCGAAACATTTGGCGCCGTCTGTGGGAGAGTACTTCAGAGATGGTATCCAAGTCTGTACCGACTCCAGAAGAGAGGCGTCCCTAGACGACCCTCAAGTTCAGTCGGACCATGATACCGAAAGTGAATTTGAAGTTGAAACTCATACAGCTCCAGACGGGACCCTAAGGGCCCGACGTACCCGTCATACCGAAAGGAGGGAACGAGAGCATCTTCAAACAGGAAGCGAGCCAGCAGGCGCACCGCTTTGCTCGGCAACAGCCGACTGATGGGTCTGCTCCCATCACAAGGAACGAACTCATGACCTTCATGAGGGACTTCAAGGGAGAGATTCAAGAGTTGATCAACAAAAAACCGCCTGCTTCAGTCAAAGAGCAGTCGGCCAAAAAACCTTCCACTTCACTGAAGAGGAAGCCAGTTCAAGGCGAGAGGCGACTCCCCATCCTAAATCCAAGAAGCGGGAGCCACCTGCTCTTGATTTTACAAAACTCCGTTATCCTACGGGAAATAGGAAACCGGTTCGTCATATTCAGGCGGACGGGTCAAAGCAAAACGTTCACAGATGCTCGGCTCCTGCTAGAGCAGAAGAAGAGTGACCGATTATCAGAGTCGGCTTCTACTTCAAATTTTCAAGACAGTTTGCGAAATGCCTCGATGAGGCATACTCAGTCGTACCATGAGAGTCAGTCAGGCGGCACCTCCCGTCAGTCCGGCTTCCATAGTGCCCAGGCGGTACCAAACTTACCATTTGTGCCGCAACAACAGTATTTTATGCAGCCACCTCCATTTGGTGGACCTGCAGCAAAAAACGTCCAACCTATGGACTGGCAGCTACGGCTGCTTAGACTTGGTGAACAGCCATCGGCTTTCTCCAAGGAAATTACTGAAGCCGCTCAGCCGGCCAAAGTAAAAAAATGTTCTAGTAGGCGCCTATGACGGCACTACTAATCCAGAAGACCACCTGATGGCATTCACCAACCTGATGTACCTTCAAGGGTTGGATGATCCCACTTGGTGCAAGTGTTTCCCAGCGACTCTCAAGGGAATCGCACAGCAATGGTTCGGCAACCTGCCGACTGGTTGTGTAAACAGCTTCAGGACGCTTGCTTACTTATTTGCCTCCAACTTCGCTATGAACATCCCTGCGAAGAAAACGACCCTTGATTTGGGAACAATTCAGCAGGGCGAGAAGGAGGGGCTTCGTTCTTACATCAGGCGGTTCAACCTGATGAGAATACAGATTCAAGGGTTACCGGATGAGGTAGCTTATACTGACTTTTTTAGAGGTCTCAAAGACGGGTCTACCTTCAAATTTGATTTAGTTCGAAAAAGGGTGGCGACTCTTCAAGAGGCCTTGATTGAAGCAGAAGCCTATATACAGGCGACTGATCTGTGTACGATAAAACAGTCGGACGGGAAAAGGTTCGACAAAAGAGAGGGACGACAGAAATAGTCGTCCAACAAAGATAAGAAAAGAAAAGAGGTCTGGGCGGCTGATTCCTCTAAACAGCCGGCCCAGAAAAAGAAAAAAGAATTCAAACCATACTCCCCAAAGTATGTGTTTAACAAGGATAACCAGTTTATCCTAAAAGAAATAAAGGGACGGTTCTCAATTGAGAAGCCGCTCCCCATGAAGGGTTCTGCAAACAACCGGAACCAAGACAAAATCTGTGCTTATCATGATGACGTTGGTCATCACACCAATGACTGCATCAGTCTCATGCGGTACCTAGACCGCTTGGCTGAGCAAGGTGATCTTGACACTTATGTCAAAAAATCTACGGGGAACACTTCCTCAAAAAAGCAGTCGGCCAAAAAGAATCAACAGGCCGACAGTTCTGATACAGATGATGCAGTCGTCTACACCATTGCAGGCGGCTTCTCAGGAGGCGGCCCCACTATTAGGGGCAACAAAGATAATATAAGGCGGTTAGATGTAAATTCCGTTCACCAAGAACGGCCGTCCAAATATACATTTCCTGAGATTGTCATCACTGAAGAGGATCTAGGAGGGTAAGGGGCCGCATGACGACCCTCTCGTTATTGAATGTAAAGTGGCCAACCAGAGAGTTGGCCGAATCCTCATAGATACCGGGAGCTCCTCAGATCTCATCAGCAACAAATGTCTGTCAAAACTGAAAAATCAGACGGACTGCATACATCCGGCCTCCACCCTTTAATAGGGTTTGGAGGAGGAGTCGTCCACCCACTGGGACGAGTAGATTTACCCATTCGCCTGGGCGAAAAAGGGGAAGGACGACACATGGTAGTCCCGGTTCCTAGTAGTAGAGGAACTCTCGGCCTACAACATGATTCTGGGTCGACCAACCCTGAATAATTCCAAGGCTGTTATAATCCCGTCTCTTATGCTGCTTAAGTTTGAGAGGGATAATGGAACAGTCGGCTCCCTAAGGGGAGATCAGAGGATGGCCCGAGAGTGCTATCTCTCGGATGTCAAGCCCACTGTTATGGCCACTGGGTCAAGTGGAGAAAAAACAGACCTTGACAATGTCAAGGAGAGTGCGCCTGTTCAAGAAACAGGCGACAAAAAGAGAAAGGCGTCCCAGACAGAGTCCGCAAGAAAAGCAAGAAAATAGCAATCATTGGCAGAGGAGCGGCCGGATGAGTTCCGCCTCAGCCGGCTGGTGAGCATGCGGATCTGATATTAGACGACTCACGTCCTGACCGAACAGTCAAAGTTGGGACGACTGCTCTGAGAGACCTTGGTGACGACTTTCACAACCTGTTGAAAGAATACAAGGACATCTTTGCATTTGAAGTCCATGAAATGCCAGGCATTAGTCCTGATCTAGCAGTACATAAACTCGCTGTGGATCCGAAAAAGAAGCCGGTACGGCAAAAGAAGCGGAACCATGGTGAAGAAAGAGGTCAGGCGGCAGCCGCCGAAGTTAAAAAATTACTTGATGCAGGGTTCATTCGGCAATGTTACTTCCCAGACTGGGTTGCAAATGTGGTGCTTGTTAAAAAGCCGAATGACACCTGGCGAATGTGTGTAGACTACACAGACTTAAAACAAGGCGTGCCCCAAAGACAGTTACCCTCTGCCTAAAATTGATAACCTGGTCGACTCAACAGCCGGCCATGC